GTGAGGCCTGGAGGTTGTACAGGGGTTAAGCTTGCCTTGTACACGGCAGACCCAGGTTCAATGTTTTCAATTTTGGTAGAGATTGTAAGCAATGTTAGAATGTTTACAATCTACTGGACGCTGGACCAGTGACGCTGAGGTGGAGTTCTTAGTTCACCAAAGAGGGAGAATGCAGGCATGGTCAGAACACGTTTAGTCTCTTGGTTTAGAAGACGCCGTGCCAACCCAACTAGGGCGCCAACGTGGCGTCATGTGGGTATTATGGTATCTGTGGCTACCAAGCCGAGAAATGGAAGACGAGACATGGCACAGCTGGAACTGGAGCTGACGAAGGAAATCCAAGCTGTTCACAGTGGTGGAAAGAGGATAACACCCTTTGAAAAAGCAGGGAGATAGTTAAGATTTTTTATGTCTAGCAGAATAAATCATAACATTTTTTTTTTTGCTTTTTGGGTCACACCCGGCAATGCACAGGGGTTACTCCTGGCTCTGCGCTCAGGAATTACCCCTGGCGGTGCTCAGGGGACCATATGGGATGCTGGGAATCGAACCCAGGTTGGCCGCGTGCAAGGCAAACGCCCTACCCGCTGTGCTATTGCTCCAGCCCCAAATCATAACACTTTTAAAAGCAATTTTAATTGAGTAGTTAAAACGAAAGGGGGGATTGGATGGGTAAAATGGCAATGGGGTCTTTTTACGGGGAGATAAAACTTTGGAGAGAGGATGGGACATCGATGGATGGATAGTGTTGCTCATTAGGGAATCACAGGGGTGGAGAGAGGTAGGGCTTCAAGGGGCGCAGAAATAAGCAAGCTGGCCGGACCCTGAGAGACAGGAGGGGAAGGACAGAAAGATGGGATGATTTCCATCCTTCTAGTTCCGATATGCAAAGGAAATCAGGGATACCATAGGAATTTAACAAAAAAGAACTCGAGTCTCACAACTGCCTGGCATCTACCTTGCTCTTATCATGCTAAGCAACTTCCTTGCCCTATCAGGGAAAACCCAGGAGGAATAGAATGGCTCAGAGAGAGCACGGTGTCTGGGGGCCCGGAGCTGGCTTTGTTTGCCTCAGAGGGTCCACAGAGGAGAAGCTATTTACTCTCCATGCTGCACAGTTCCAATCCCCATTCAGGAAGGGAGGCCAATGACACCCATGGGCTGAAGGAAGCTTCTGGAGTCTGCTGACCCGCTGTGCTCTTGTTTGGTATTGCTACTCCTAAGGAAGGAAAGACGAGCCATAGTTGGTTGCTTTGTCCTTTGTACCATTTTCTCCTCAGTGGCATCATGCCGGGGAGGAGTTGGGGTCCAGAGAGAGGAATAAGTGCACACAGGCTCATGTGCCAGTGCTCCAGACTCCCACTCTGCTCCCCGTCCTGCCTTCTGGGCCCTTGGAGAATGGAAACATTCTCTTTCCTTGACGATGGAGAAAGCCCCAAACCAGTGCACCTCACAGGACACCAGTGATCTCATTAGTGCTCTGTTTGGGGGCCACACTCAGCGATGCTCAGAACCCACTCCTGGCTTTGTGCTCAGGGATCATTCCTGGTGGTGCTCAGGGGATCACATGGGGTGCCGAGGATTGAACCTGGGTTGGCCACATGCCAGGTAAGTGCCCTCCCCGCTGTCTTATTGATGTTGCCCAGATGCCAGTGGTTTCGATTGTCGTGGACAAACCCACCCTCTGGAAGCTGGTTCTTGCCATACTTCCACTCCTTCATTCAGGTTCTCCTGTTGTTCTTCGCAGCTGCCTCAGGCTGCCATCAGCAGGACCTGGGCAGCAGAACCCATGTCTTCTATCCAACATCTTCTGCATGTCTTGTTACTGTAGAGGTCACCTGTACCTGAGGTGACCCCAAGGAACTGTGGGGAGGACCCAGACTCCCTGGGCCAGACCTTCCCCAGAAAAACTGTTGGGGGGCTGCAGGGCAAGACTGGATGGGGAAAGCACCGCCTCTGGAGAACGTGAGGAAGGGTGAGCGGGTCACCTCAGTGGGCCACGTGTGGTCTGTGGTGGTGGCTCTGGAGGCCAAGCCATGGGCACTAGGCCAGGGCTGGTTCCCAGGAGAGCCTGGAGCCTCTTTTGTCCAGAGTAGCTGTTTGTTCACTAAGGGAGGAAGATGCCTTGGTTTCCCTTCTCTGCGAGCTAACACCACCTGGTCTGAGTTGGAGATAGATCGGGGTGCCCTGGCAGTGCTACCTGGGGGGAGGGGAAGGAAGGGGTTCCTGTCCTCTTGCAAGGAGCAGGCAATGGAGGGTCCATCTTATAGCTGGGTGAAAATGTCAGTGAGGCCTGGAGGTACAGAGATTAAGCTTGCCTTGTACACGGCTGACCCGGGTTCAACCCCTGGCACCATACGTGGTCTCTGAGCACTGCCAGGAGTGAGCTCTGAGCACAGAGCCAGGTATAAGCCCTGAGGACCATTGGGTTGCACCCCAACCCCTTGTTGTGAAGATCAGTGAGGGCCCCGTGGCTCTCTGAATATTTTAAGCGGTATGTAGGCTGCTGGCACATTAGCCTTCTTTCAACTGAGAACTGGAGGGGCCGGGGGCAGGGGCTTCCTGCGTTTCATATTCCCTCCTGCTTTGGGTGTGGACACAGCAGTCTCCCCCGAGTGGAGTGGTCACATGGAGCCCAGGCCCCTGGACATGCTGTGGAGAACGGAGAGAATTTGACCTTGGGACTTGGTCTAAACCTACGTGTGGCGAGATTTTTACCAAGTTCATGCAACTTCTGGTCCTGTTTCCTCACCTGCCGGAGGCTTGGTTTTGGATTATTGAGCCACACCCAGTGATGCTCAGGCCTTACTCTGCCTCTGTGCTTAGGGATCACTCGTGGCATGGCGTGAGGGGCCATGTGTGGTGTTGGGTCAGCCAGGCAGAAGGCCAGCACCTTCCCTGTCCTATATGTCGGGCCCTTCTCCCTGGGCACTCTGAGCACCTCTGTAGCCCCTCAAGCCAGGGATAGAGATAGGCATGCCCACAAGCTGTGGACTAGCTTCATCTGTTCTCAGGCTGTGTCTGTGCCATTCTGCAGGAGAAATATCAGAGACTGTGGCTGACCGTTACTCGTGGGTGGCGGTTAGCTTGCAGATCCAGCTTCAAGAACCCAGTGCCTTAGAGACAGGAAGCGAGCGCTACTGGTGAGCAGGATCACCCAGCTGGACCAAGGCAGGCTGCTCCCCATCTAGATCCTCTCTGAGTCAGGCTTTGGGGCTGAGGGTGTCCCTCAGGAAGCCTAGAAAGTAGAACTTGGTGGCTCTGATTTCCTGGGATCAGGTCAGTTTCCCTTTTGGCCAGCAGGTGGCGCTGAACCCACAGTCCTGCTTGTTTACTGTCAGCAGTCACTGGAGGAGGTGTATAAGGGGGTGCGGGGGAGGAGGGGGCGAAGAATGTTTCTCTAGTTGGGATCCCAAGGATGGCACTGCTGAGGTGAGTTTGGCCCTCAGGACACCAAGCTGAGAACCAGGCATGCCCTGACCCATGAGGATTTTGAGTGACTTCTCACCTCTTCTACATCAGGCACAGATCAGTCTGTCAGGAAAGTGACTGTGGATACAGAGAGGGGTAAGCTCAGTGACTAGACCTGCAGGAGCAGGTTCCTGGCTGCTTAGCTCTGCCTCTGGAAGGATGTAAGAAACTCCCACTGATGCAGTAAAAGCCCTCGGAAGGTCTCAAACCATAGCATTGGTTTCTATCATCTGCACCATCATCCATCCACCCACCCATTTATGCATCCAACCAGCCAGCCACCCATCCACCTACCCATCCATATACCCATCCACCCATCCATCCACCTACCCATACACTCACCCATCTATACATCCTTCCTTCTATTACCCATCTACCTATTCATCCACCCATCTATGATGCTTTCTTCTATCCCCCTCCATCCATTCACCCATCTATCCATCCATCCAAACCAGTACAAAAGCAAAAGTAGAAATCCCAGCAAAGGAAGAAAGGGAACATCTCTTTGCAAGGAAGCAGGGGAGACCTTAGTGAGGCATCACTGGGCTAGGACTGATTGAGTCTCAAGAGAGAGGAGGGAGACCTGGGAAATCCAGGGCAGAGAGCCACACACACGTATCTTTGAGTCTAGGCCATAACTGTTATTGCAGTGAGAGGCCCTGGCAGCTGAAGGGTAACTGAAGGCAACGGATTCTGGTAAGAGGATAGTGAGCTGCAAGTCCGAAAAGCAGGTGAAGCCCAAATGGCTGGCGATGGAGTATACCCTCAATCCCGTGATGGGGAACTACTGAGAGTGCTTGACATAAGAGGAATGATTGCAATCCCTTTCCTAAATCGGAAACCTGCAGGGGAAGTGACCTGCAGGGGAAGACACAGAGGCCTGAAGACCAGCTACTCTGTCAACCATGGTCAGGAAGGCTGAGTTGGGAGGGGTGCTGTATTGAGGATCAAAACTCTCACCCACGCAAGGGGGAAGAGAATAGAAGTCCCTGTCTTGTTCCTGGATCTGTTGTCTCATCCTGTGGCTGATTCAGTAATCATCACGGTAGGTAATATTTATTGAGCACTTGTCAAGGACCAGGCTCTTCAAGCAGTTTACATGTTTTTTGCTTACAACAACTCCATGAGGTAGGTATTCTTAGTATCACCGTGTTCTAGATAAGGCAACTGAGGCACAGGGAGGTTATGACTTGGCCAATGCCTGAGAACTAGAGCCAGGATTAGAACCAGGCAGGAGCTGGCATGCTCCAAGCTCCAAGCAGCACTGCCGAGTGAGTATCTGTGTGTGGGACCCTCCCTCCTGGCCTCTTGGCCCTCCAGCTCCCTGGTGGTAAGACAACACCAGGCTTTAAACCTGAGTCAGGCTTTGGGGCTGAGGGTGTCCCTCAGGAAGCCTAGAAAGTAGAACTTGGTGGCTCTGATTTCCTGGGATCAGGTCAGTTTCCCTTTTGGCCAGCAGGTGGCGCTGAACCCACAGTCCTGCCTGTTTACTGTCAGCAGTCACTGGAGGAGGTGTGCCCAAAGAATATTTAAAAAACGTTGAATGAAGAAAAGAGAAAAGAAGAAGAAATTAAATTCCAAGAAATGAAGAAAAAGCATGAAGATCATCCCAAATTTAATCATACAGTAAGGATTATGACTTTATAAAACTAAATAGAGGAAGATAATTTTTATACCAGGTAGTATAATGTATAATTAGATTTAGTACTTTAATATTGATTCATAATTATATAAAGTTCCTGAAATTTATATTTTACTTTTATAATGATAACTGGTAAGATCCCCGTGGCATATTCGATATGCCAAAAACAGAAACAACAAGTCTTACAATGGAGACGTTACTGGTGCCTCCTTGAGCAAATTGATGAACAATGGGAGGACAGTGCTATATGCAATATGTACACATCAGTTACATATTGTTTAAAGAGTTTTCAAAAATTGATTTACAGGGAAGCAAAGATCAACTCAAGGAGGTATGGGAAAAAGCTGATGAATTGGATCCTAATGACTTCTACCCCAAGACATTTTTCAAATTATATGGTAACAGATTTGATACAAACATAAATCTTCACATGCAATGTTTGAAAAATTATAACTTCTTTATTCTTAATGAATTTTGCCAAGATTGTTTTGTTTATATAGTAGAATCTATTAAAAGATATTTTCTTTTTTTATGTTTCATACATTTATTAATCATTGTAATCCCCACCATAATACAACATGTTTTCATGCATTTAGAGGGGAAGTATTTCCTAGTTCAGTGGAAAATTGTGTGATGGCTTCTGGAAGACCTTCATTTTAAGCAGCTTTACAAGTGAAACATTTTGTTTAGAAGTCTGGACCTTCTTTCTTCAGGTTGCTGTCATCTACATTCACTGCAAAAAACTTGTATTGATCATTTGGACACAGTTTGTTCCAGGGCTCTGGGTTATTCTTTCTGTCCCAACTGACATCAGGATTGAACAAGGCCAGGTGGATGAATACACTGCTGCATCAGTACCTCCAGCTCCAATAAAGACAAAGAGAAGAGGGGAATCAAGCTCGGATGCTTCTTAGCCTGGCTGAAAATCACGCGCAGCATGGTTGCGGCGGAGGCCTCAAACTGGGGAGAAGGAGAAGGGCAAAAGAGCAAGACCTGGGTTAAGTAAGCTCTGCTCTTTTTTTTTAAATGTAGGAGTTCTGCTATTTATTCAGCTACTGATTAGCTGATTGAATTGGGAATGAACTCCACCTTACTTTTTTTTTTCATTTTTTATAATTTTATTTATTCAATTACCATGAGAGCAGTTACAAAATTTTCGGGTTTAAGTCTCGGTCATACAAGAAACACCTGTCCCTTCACCAGTGCCCATTCTCCACCCCACAAAACCCCAATATACCCCCAATCCCACACCCTGCCTCTACCTGTAGGGGCAGATGATTTCCACATTACTCTCTCTCTCTACTTTGATTACATTCAATATTTTGACACCAGACCCACCATAATTATTTGGGATTTTACCCCAACATTCAGATCTGCTGCAAAGGCAACAGTAGACAATTTGTTTTCTATTGCTGGTTGCGAATAACATATGATGTCATGTGGCCGCAGTAGTGGCCACGCGATTTTAAAATTCCGAAATTTTAATAATTAAATCTGGAGGGATTTCTGCCAAAACATGCTGGGTTCCGAGATTTGTTCCTGAGTCTCTTGATCATGGCCATTAAGCAGCTTGATCAGGAGTCAGAAAGGCTGTTCATGGGCAGCAACTCGGGGTCTCATTGGGACGGGGAGGAAAGGGCCGGCACCACCCCCATCCCGTGAGGCCCCACGTGTCTCGTCACTGAGGGCCCAAACTTGACTGTCCAGTGGCCTCTGGTGGATGGCAGCCACCGAGCCACCAATGGGGAGAGGCAGAGGGACAGCACACTTTCCCCCCCTGGAGTGGCCCGGCAACAGCAACCTACTGCGGGGTCCAGATCCATTTCTGCCAAAAGCCGCTGGGTTTCAAGATTTGTTTCTGAGTCTCTGGGATCATGGCTGTTAAGCAGCTGGGTCAGGAGCCATAAAGGCTATTCGTGAGAATTGGGCTCTTGTTGGGACGGGGAGGAAAGGGCCGGATCCACCCCCATCCTGTGAGGCCCCGCGTGTCTCGTCAGTGCAGGCCCAAACCTGACTGTTGTCCAGTGGCCTCTAGAGATGGCGGCCACCAGGTTGCCAGGGGGAACAGGCCAAGGCATGAAACCTATTTCCACCTGGGGTGGCCCGGTGATGGTAACCTACTGCTGGGACTGGATGCATTTCTGCCAAAAGCCATTGAGTTTCGAGATTTGTTTCTGAGTCTCTGGGATCATGGCCATTAGGTAGTTCAATGAGGAACCAGAGAGGCCATGCCTCCAATTATATAGCTGAGCTGAAGGTGGTTTGTGGGTGTCTCTCCCACATACCTAACTTTTAGCCGTTTACTTTCTTGGTAAACTTTGCCCCAAGTTTTTGGGGTCTGGCCAAAGGCACAGCAGCAATTTTGGGGTATCTGGAAGTCTGAAGGCGCCATCAGGCTGCTGATGCACTCACCTCACAGGTACAGATTGGCCTGCTGGCAGCACCATACCCCCTTAAAAGATAGTTTCTCCTTCTGACAATAAATGTTTATAGTTTCTCTCTAGAATGATATAACAAACCTAATTAGTGATCTATAGGGTAAATTACTTAAGTGAGTCTCTGTGGATTGTTTTGTTCTGTTCTTTGGACACCTGAGGTTGTCTCTGGCTGTGCTTGGAGCCCATGTGGAGCCAAGGATTGAACCCAAGTCTTCTGCATGCCAAGCACATATACTCAGTCCACTGCATTATCTTTCCAGCCCTCATAGCTATGTTTTTGTTTTTGCTTTGGTTTAGGGGGCCCATATCTGATAGTTCTCAGAGCTTATTCCTGGTTCTGCATTCAGGGATCACTCCTGGTGGAACTCGGGAACATATGTGGGGTCAGGGATCAAATCTGGCTTGACCACATCCAAGGCAATTGTCCTGCCCACTGTACTATTTCTCTGGCCCTAGTAGCTGTGTGTGAGGTTTTTTGTTTGTTTGTTTGTTTCTTTTATTTTGTTTTTGGGCCATATCCATCACTGCTCAGGCCCTACTCCTGGCTCTGCTCGGGGATGACTCCTGGTGGAGTTCAGGAGACCATCTGGGGTGCTGGCAATTGAACCCCTGTTGGCTGTGTGCTAGACATCTAGTACTCACTGTACTCATTATACTATCTCTCCAGCCCCCCAGTAGCTGTTTTTATGCCTATTTACTTTGAATTGTTCTTCAGGTTACTCTTTAAAATGAAGGTATTTTAGGTTATATCTAACATGCTTTATGCTATAATATTATAATCCACTTTTATTCTTGTATATGTTTTCTAAAAGACTATTATGAGTTTTTCCCAGTGGATTGAGCTAAAGATATGATGAAAAAGAATTATTTTTATGTAGCATATTGATGCTTTATGTTTCGCTACATTTGCAAACCTTTATATATGGTTGTATTTCATTTATTTTCTAAGACATGAAAGTCAATTTTTTCATTTGTAACTTTTAAACATTAGATATCAATAATGATGGCTTCCTAGATGAACAAGAATTAGAAGCTCTATTTATTAAAGAGGTGAATTAATTCATTAAATATTCATTGTTTAACATTTTTCCCTATTATCTTCCTTTCTTTTATGTTGGCTTTCAAATTTTCTTTATAGTTGGAGAAAGTATATGACCCCAAAAATGAAGAGGATGATGTGGTAGAAATGGAGGAAGAAAGGCTTCGAATGGAGAACATGTAATGAATGAAGTAGGTCTGTAATTAATATTACTGTTATAGGTTATTTAAGTGATTGCAATGAATCTTGACATAAGGGGAAAAATATATAGAATAGTTGTATGGTTGAATATTATTATTCTTGCTACAAAAATACTCAATAGGTTCCTCAATTTTTATAACAACTCTAAATATTTTAAAAGGTTAAGATCCTGTTTCATATTAGCTATGAGACATTCTTTAAAAGTAAATTATTATATAGTACAATATTTATTATTTTAAAAGGCTTTTTTAAAATTAATTTTTGTCAAGGAAAAGAAGCTCAAACCCATAATGGTATGACATGTATTTATTTCTTGATCACTTTTCTAAATTGAAAACTCTGATCTATACCACATGGTTTGGGGATTTAAGCCCACTGTCTGGCCTCTGTGATTTACACCAGATTTTGAGCTCTTACTTTTCAATTTTTTAATTTTTTTATTTTATAAGGTAGTTCACAATCATTGATTCCATTTAACATTGAAACACCAATCCCACCATCGTTACACCTTCCCACCACCATATTTGGGATGTTTCCATCCCAAGCCCCAATCCCTTTCTCAAAGCAGAACCGAAATAATATATTTTATATTGTTTGTTATAAAAAAAAAACGCTGAAATGCTACAAAAAAGTATCCATAGAGAAAAGAGTGTGAAGATTGTTCTATTTTAGCAGGGGCCATTAAGACCTTCTTTAAGATATCACTAACATGTTGTTAAAGATTGAGCATTGTGAACTTTCATATATATATATATATATCACTGTATCACTGTATCATTGTCATCCCATTGTGTGGAAGATGCCCTGTGTTGCCTTTGTTATCCCTGGAGCTCCCCAAGGCTTCATTTAGTCTCTTCTGTTCCCCGCTGGCCTACTGGCTCCCTTAAGGCACCTGGTACCTAGTAGCATCTTCTTATTGAATCACAGTGCCACGGGCCTCTCCCAGAGCGTGTGTGTGTTTGCACACGCGCGCAGGTGTGTGTGTGCGGTGGGGAGGAACGACATACACATTTCAACCCTCAGGACATTGGGCCTACATGATGTGAAAAGCTAAGTATAGGGTTGGGGACAGGAAGGGCTTCCAGGCCACGGGAGCCTGAGTGGGGCCTTGAGAAACCGGCAGCGCCTTGCTGGGTGACAAATAGGAGCTTGCTGGTCACTGGAGCAGAAGCAGCATGAGCAGGTTTGGGTGAACCGGTCACATCAGGGACACCAGGAGAGGGAGGAAGTCGCCCAAAGTTGCTCCGGAAGTGTGTGTGTGGGGTCACCCTGAGGGCGACACTGGTGCCTGGGAGGGCAAGGAGGAGGGAGTGTGTTTGGGTTCCCGGAAGGCGGGAGGTGCCGGGATGGGGCTTAGCCTCCAGCTCACCTGCTCACGCACGGGGTCAGTGCCAGAGGAAACTGGTTCTAGCCTGCTAGGGATTCCACTGCAGGGGAACAGTTGGCCCAAAAGCCATTAACCCACCCCCTGTGTGGCAGCACCTCTACCTTAAAATAGAAGATACAGAACGAAGGTGTGGGTACCCGAGGGCCGACCTAGATAAAGCCTGACCCCTAGAGAGGAAAAGGTCGCCCTCCCATGAGGGGGACAGCTTGGTTCCCCCGCCCAATGTCGTCAGCCCACCCCACTGACATGAAATGGAGGTTCCAGGTCTGTGTGCTCAGGACCTCCAGGGAAATTGGTGGGATGAGGGGCTCAGGGTAGGGGAATTATGGGGTGGGGAACAGGATTCAGATTCATGGGGCCACGTTTTTAATTGACTCCCAGTGGAGACGGATTTGAGGAGAAAGCTCTTTCTATCTGGACGATTGTTACCCCAGTTGCCTGCCCCAAACTTTCCCCAGAGAGGAAGAAAGAGGAAACTAGGAGGTGTCCCCTTCCCTGGAGCCTCCTGCCTTTCTCCTTGGTCTGGGAGACGCGAAACCCTTCCCTCCCGTGACAGGTCCTTGCTGAGCAGGCTCTGCTGAAGGTCCTTGCATTAAACTTTTTATTATTTTTTTTATTTTTTAATTTTTATTAGTGAGACACCATGAGGTACAGTTGTAGACTTACAAATTTTTGTGCTTGGGTTTCAATTATACAATGATCAAATACCCATCCCTCCACCAGTGCCCATTCTCCACCACCAATGATACCAGTATCCCTTCCACCCACCCCCATCCCCCCATCTCACCATGTCTCTATGGTAGGGCATTCCCTTTTGTTCTCTCTCTCCTTTTGGGTGCTGTGGTTTGCAAAAGAGGCATTGGGTGACAATCATGTTTGGTCTATAGTCTACTTTCAGCATGCTTCTCCCATCCTGGGAGGATCCTCCCAACACCCTTTATTTGGTGCTCCCTTCTCTATCTGAGCTGCCTTTTCCCCTAGCATGTGTGGCTGGCCTCCAAACCATGGAGCAAAATCCCTGGTACTAATCTCGGCTATTCTTGGGTCTTAGTCTCCTATTTTGTTACTTTATGTTCCCCAGATGAATGCAATCTTTATATGTCTCTCCCTCTCTTTCTGACTCATTTCGCTTAACATGATACTTTCCATGTCCTTACATTAAACTTTAAACAGGGAGTGCTCTGCCAAGGGAGGAGTCAGGGCTCAGGAGAACCCTAGGTTGTAAACCGTGTGACCTCCAGTGTGCATGCCTACAAGATGGGCACCAGCTCATCACATCTGTCGTGGGAGCCCTTGCTGCCTCGGGTGCCAGCCTGCTGTAGAAGCTGCCATCTGAGCCATGTTTAAAATCATCTGGAGGGACTGGAGCGATAGCATAGCGGGTAGGGTAGGCGTTTGCCTTGTACACAGCTGACCTGGGTTCAATTCCAGCATCCCATATGTTCCCCCGAGTACTGCCAGGACTAATTCCTGAGTGCAGAGCCAGGAGTAACCCCTGTGCATCGCTGGGTGTGACCCAAAAAGAAAAAAAGAATCATCTGGAGCATTCCTGGAGCCTGCTGGGCTTGGCACCACAGGTGCAGAGAGCCGGGAGGCTGGAGTCCAAGGTCAGTCAGCTCAGCATGTCACTTGGCCTTGCCAGAGTGCAGCCATATGGGGAACTGGAGAGGAAGTTCAGCGCACTCAGGATATAGGTTCTCTCGCCAAGTCAGGAGAAGCCTCTGAGCTCCACCATGAGTAGCTCCAAAACCAGAAGTAAAAGCCTCGCAAGAAGCCTGCAGGTGGTGTGGAGTGATGCTCAGCTACTGCATGGGCTCGAGATACAGACTCACGTGACTGATGCCCTGTCCCTGCGCAGGCGTGACAAATATATATATATATATGTATATATATATATTATTTTCCTCTATGATTGGTTGCCTACTTTTGAGCCCCATCAAATGTGATGTGGTACTCTTGGAGAATGGGTAGGGAGTGTGTTATGAGGCTTTCGAGGCCGCCTGGTCCAGGAATAGGTTCACTCTTGCGTGAGGCTTGGCCCAAGTGTGTGGGGAGCAGACTTGAACGTAGCGACAGTCTTGTCTGGATGTTCTCAGCTGTGGGGACTGGGTCCCTTGGGTTGGGGAAAGCTCTCACCCAATCTGCTCTGAAGCAAAACAGCCTGACGCAGGGTCTGGTGGCATGGCTATCTTGAGCGTCATGTTGTGCTCCCTGCAGGAGAGAAGGACATGTGATCTGATTTTGAGCTTTTAATGATAAATTGGGACTTCTATTGAGGCCTGGAATCTTCAATACATATGTATTGTAGCGCTGTAGCTCTATCCTACCATTGTTCATCAATTTGCTCGAGCGGGCACCAGTAACGTCTCCATTATGAGACTTGTTGCTTTTTTTTGGCATATCCAATATGTCACGGGTAGCTTGCCAGGCTTTGCCGCACAGGCGGGATGCTCTCGGTAGCTTGCTGGGCTCTCCGAGAGGGACGAAGGAATCATATCCCGGTCGGCCTCATGCAAGGCAAACCTTATTTAATGCATATGTATTAAGTAAATACATATGTATTAAATAACCTTATTTATTTAATACATATGTATTAAATAACCTTATTTAATATGTATTAAATTAAAAAAATTGTCACTGTCCTTCCATTGTTCATCGATTTGCTCAAGCAGGCCCAGAAACATCTCCATTGTGTGACTTGACACTGTGTTTGGCATATTGAATACGTCACAGGTAGCTTCCCAGGCTTTTCCATGAGGGCAAGATACTGCCGGGCTCTTCAAGAGGGGTGGAAGAATCGAACCTGGATCGCCCGGTTCAGGTGCATCGGCCGCACGCAATGCCCTACTGCTGTGCTATCTCAAAGACCAGAGAGATGGTATAGAGGATGGAGAGATAGTACAGCAGGTAGGGCACTTGCCTTGCATGTGGCTAACCTGGATTCGATTCCCAGCGTCTCAGATGGTCCCTTAAGCCCAGTCAGGAATGATCTCTGAGCACAGAGCCAAAAGTAAACCCTGAGCACCAATAGGTATGACCCCAAAACTTTAAAAAAAAACCCAAAGCCCCCAAAACAGTATTAACCTTAATTAGTCAGAACAGTACACTGAAACTTGTTGATGCTTGGATGTCAGGGATATATATGCTCCTTATGTTTTTCAAATTTGCATTATATAGGGGTTGGAGTGATAGCACAGCAGATAGGGCATTTGCGTTGCACGCGGCTGACTTGGGTTCGATTCCCAGCATCCCATATTGTCCCCTGAGCACCTCCAGGGGTAATTTCTGAGTGCAGAGCCTGGAGTAACCTCTGTACATTGCCAGGTGTGACCCAAAAAAGCAGAAAAAAATTGCATTATATAGAAGAAAAAGCTAACTAATTTTCTGATTCTAGTATAATAATGTTGAGTGTTCTGTTTTTGTTGTCCTTCTCAATCTGCAGTTTCCAATAACGTTAGACTGGCCCTACATGCCAAATGTTTATGCAGCATCTCTTAGAAAATAGTTTCTAGCATGTAAATAGCATGTAAATAAGAAAATGATATTTTTACCTATACTAGGTATATAGTATATTTTTACCTATACTAGGTATATATTTAACTAGGTGGATACTAGCAAAGACCGACTGGTGACTCTAGAAGAGTTTATGAAAGCTACAGAGCAGAAGGAATTCTTGGAGCCTGATAGCTGGAAGGTAACAACCCACTTCCAATGATATGTATGATTTAAGCAATTAGCATCAGACCATTCTCCTTTTAGTTCTCATTCCCTGGTATATTTCTGCATGATTTCCACTTATGCATCATAGTATTGGTAGAATGAATTTATCTTTTAAAAAAGAAAAATTTTGAACAGATGACTGGTTAAAGAAACTTTGGTACATCTACACAATGGAGTACTATGTAGCTGTTAGAAAAGATGAAGTCATGAAATTTACATACAAGTGGTACAATATGGAAAGTATCATGCTAAGCGAAATGAGTCAGAAAGAGAGGGATAGACATAGAAAGATTGCATTCATCTGGGGGATATAAAGTAACAAAGTATGAGATTAATACCCAAGAATAGCTGAGATCAGCACCAGGATGATTACTCCATAACTTAGAGGCCAGCCGGGTATCCTAGAGGAAAGGGCAGTTCAGATAGAGAAGGGAGCACCAAATAAAGGGTGTTTGTTTGGAGGATCCTCCCAGGAGGGGAGATGCATGTCGAAAGTAGACTATGGACTGAACATGTTTGCCACTCAATGCCTCTTTTGCAGACCACAACACCCAAACGGAGAGAGAGAACACAGGGGATTGCCCTGCCACAGAGGCAGGGGGGGATGGGGGGATGGGGATGGGAGGGATATTATCCATGGTGGTGAAAAACGGGCACTGGTGGAGGGATGAGTATCTGATCATTGTATAATTGAAACCCAAGCACAAAAAATTGTAAATCTACAACTGTAAAAAAAAATAATAAATAAATAAAAATTAAAAAAATAAAATAAAAAAAAGAAAAATTTTGGAAGTTGATCTCTTATTTATAATCATTACTTGATCACTTCACTTGATCACTTGACATCCTGTTACTCATCGATTTGCTCGAGCGGGTGCCAGCAACATCTCCATTTGTCCCTGTCACATGCTAATGTAACCCAATGACATTTGCTCGTTCTAGGAACACAAAGAACCTCAAACCGATCATTCAGGGTCTTTTTTTTTTTTTTTTTTGCTTTTTGGGTCACACCCGGTGATGCACAGGGGTTACTCCTGGCTCTGCACACAGGAATTACTCCTGGCGGTGCTCAGGGGACCATATGGGATGCTGGGAATCGAACCTGGGTCGGCTGCTTGAAAGGCAAATGCCCTAGCCACTGTGCTATTGCTCCAGCCCCTCATTCAGGGTCTTGACAAAGAAGTCTGATCATCTCATAGGTGGGCGGACACGCGATCTTTTGATGTCCTGTGGAATCCAGTCGGTAATGGCTCTAGTACAGCGGTCATCTCCAAATCTCATTACGTGTCCAGCCCATCTGATTTTCAACGTCTTGGCAAAAGAGACACCATCCCTGATTCTTGACCATTAATGGAGGATGGAACTCCAGATTCTTTATCTCATTTGAATGAAGTGTGATACTCCAAGCATAGCTCTTTCGATTCCTCTTTGGGAGACCCGAATAGTGTTCTCATCCTGTTTTCGTAGGGCCCAGGTCTCTGAAGCGTATGTTAATGCAGTAAGAACAGTGGAATCAAAGAGATGTGCCCGAAGCCGGAGGTTCTTCATCTTCTTTCTTCGACGTTCTTGAAGGCGTTCCAAGCTGCTCTCTTCCTCCTGCACAACTCAGGTGCCAGGTCATTCGTCATGCTGACATCTCGACTTAGGTACACATAACTGTTGCATTCGGAGATGTTCATCCCGTTGAGAGTGAACGGAACGTCAGGAATGAGACCGTTTCTCCTAAACATTGTCTTTGTGAGATTCAGCTGTATTGTGAGATTCTAAGTCGGCCAGCATTTGTGCCACTTGGCTGATGTTTGGTGTTATAAGAATGATGTCATCAGCGAAGAGGAGGTGGTGTAGTTGCCGACCATCTATCTTCACTCCCATTCCTACCCACTCCGGTCATCACATGATGTTCTCGAGGGTGGCACTGAAGAGTTTCAGTGAAATGGTATCACCCTACCGAACCCCTCTCTTGACGTCAATGATCACCTCCCTGTAGAATGGTAAGACCCTGGTAGTGAATCCACAATACAGCTCACGGAGGATCCTGATGTATTGACATTGAACACCCTTTTTGTCTAGGGCCTCGATGACCTCTTCAGTCTCAACAGAATCAAAGGCCTTCTTTAAATCAATGAACGTTAGACAGAGCGGTATCTTGAACTCCCAAGAAACCTCAATGAGCTTGGTTGTCCTGTGGATATGGTCCATTGTGCTAAATCCTTTTAGGAACCGCATGGTTGTCCTTCATCTAGTATTCTGCCAATCCTATTCAGGATGACTCATGTGAACAGCTTGTAGATGACAGACAACAGGCAGATCGGGCAATAGTTGCCAATGTCGTGGATGTCTCCCTTCTTGTACAGTAGTACAATCCTGCAGGTTTTCCACTGGGATGGAACCATGCTTTCAGACAGGTAGCGTGTGAAGAGCCGAACCAGTGTATTGATGAGTACTGATGGCAGGTTCTTCAGGTGTTCGGGTCTGACCTTGTCTGGGTGGGTGCTGTTTGCTTCTTTACCAACGAAATGGCGTGTCGAATTTCAGAAGGAAGAACGTTGGGAATGACATATATCCTCAGAATTTGGTATGTGGGCAGGTGGACATGACTATCAAAGACATCAGAGTAGAAATCATGGATAATCTTCTCCATTGCCCTTGTGGAAGATGTGATAGGACGTCAGAGGGTAGTCATCTTGGTCTTGTAGTTGGCGAAGGACAGGCGGGCGTTGCGAATGCTTTTCCCAGCTTCTGCCGCATTTGCTTGCACTGTTGCTCTTCTCTCTTTGAGGTCTTCCTTTGTCGCATCTCTGCACTGCTTTGTGAGCTTGGAGGTTCGCTTGCGGTTGCCTGAGGCATGCGCCAAGCCATGTTGGCGAACGAGCTCAAGAGTTTTTGAAGACAGGTGTCTTTTTGTGGCTATCTCTCTCTCTCAGCGTTCTTTGCACAATCATGGAGATGCTGAACGAGTCGATCATATTCCTTGTCAATGTTGTCAACAACGGCATCTTCCCATGTTGCCGCAATAATGCCAAAGAGCTCCCAGTTGGTGGTCGTTCTGGGAGTTCTCTTCTTAAACTTTGCAGCCCTTTCTCCCCACTCTGTGAAGTAGAATTTTGCCCTTCTACTCCCAAAGGAGACGGTGGTCCAATCCCGTTTGGAATTTTGAGACAACAAGCGACATCAGTCAGGCCAAACCGTTGATTGAATATGATGTGGTCAATTTCTTGTGGAACCGTCCACTGGGAGACTCCCACGTCAACGTTTAGATTTGACCTTCTGGAACTGTGAGTTACCATGGATGATCTTGGTTGACATGATGAACTCAGACAGTCTCTCACCCTGTTCGTTCCATTCTAGGCCATGGGTCTCAATGTGGAGTTCTTCAGCTGATCTTCTCGGTCCTATCTTGGCATTAAAATCACCAACAATGATCTTGTAGAAGGTGTGGTCTTCTTTATAGAACTTCTCCAGCTCCATGTAGAACTTTTCAGTTTCTCCTTCATCATAATTGAATGTTGGTGCGTAGACAACGAAGATAGAAACTGCCGGCAGTGAGCCACATCTATTCAAGTGTAATTGTCCGATTCGAGTTGTTAGGCATTCAAATGAGTCAATGCTCATGGCCAAGTTCGTGTTGACAAGGACATCGACACCTCTGATGCCTCTTTTGTCTCATGCTCCGAGGAAGAGTTCTTCTCCAATGTCAAAAACGATGTGATGTGATTGATGCCTTTTCGTCTCAGTCAGACCAATGATGTCGTACTTGATCTTTCACACTTGTACCATCAGGTCCTTAATTGATGCATCCGATGCCAGCATACATGCATTGAAAGTACAGACAATCATTTTTTGTCTTTCTTCGTTTTGGCAGCCTAGTTTGGCCTTGAGATTTTATCAGCCTCTCCTTCCACATCCTACTCAATGCTGCCATATTGGGGACTCCTTCAGGGTCAGGGGAATGAGACCCATTGTATTTACTGGTTTTGGCATATTGAATACACCACGGATAGCTTGCCAGGCTCTGCTGTGTGGGCGGGATACTCTCGGTATCTTGCCAGGTTCTCCGAGAGGGATAGAGGCTTTTGGGGCAGCCTCTAATAGCCCTAGTAGGTGTTCCCATGGTTCAAACCACATTTGAACCTTATCAAATATGGTGCAGCAATCCTGGAAGATGGATATGAAGTGTCTTATGATGTGTCTGGAAAGCATCTGGAGTGTGGCGGCGGCTGGGTAGTGGAGGTAGTGTTTACTCTATTTACTCAGCAATATCTAAACTTTATTGATATTTTTGTCAGTTTTCCTAATAAAGCCCTTTGGGCCAGAACACAAATACAGGATTTCACATTGAATTAAGTTGAAATATCTCCCTTTGGTTTCATTTTTGTTTTCTTGTTTTGGGATCAGACCCTGCAGTGCTCAGGGCTTATTCCTGGCTCTGCACTCATGTCTCACTCCTGGGAGGCCATATGGGGTCGCGGGAATCAAACTCAGTCAGCCATATGCAATGCATCCATCATATCTGTTGTACTGTCTCTCCAGACCCTATTTTCTAAAGATTTTTTTTTTTTTTGCTTTTTGGGTCACACCCAGCGATGCACAGGGGTTATTCCTGGTTCATGCACTCAGGAATTACTACTGATAGTGCTCAGGGGACCATATGGGATGCTGGGAATTGAATCCGGGTCAGACCGCGTGCAAGGCAAATGCCCTACCCTCTGTGCTATCACTCCAGCCCCAATTTTGCCAAAGGTTTTAAGTAATTTTTCCCCAACCAGCTAGGCTGCTAGAACCAGAAGTCTGCCTTTATAAAAATTACTCAAGCTGAAGGAATAGCTTAAGAAGACTTGCACAGTGCTCTGGCTGAAGAAGGGCTGGATTGACCCTTGAGCACAGAACCAGGAGTAGTTCCTGAGCATAGAACTGGGAATGACCCCTTCAACTCCTCCCCACCCCATTACTCAACATCGTTTGAAAAATTATTTC